ATTTCAGTTAGCACCAACAGAGTATATTAATGAGACGGAGCTGCTTGCATGTTTTAAGTTAAGCCTCTACATAGAAGTTAAGAGGATAAAGCTGTATCTTCTCTCACTGCCCAATAGGATGAGCATTGCAACCATTTGAAGACAAAAGGTTTAGATCAGTATTTTCTTTTCAGCCCAAGAAACGGACAAGGCAGGGCACCAAATCAAAGCCGGAAAGGCGAGTGAGAGCAAGCCTGGCTTCCTTCCCCACAGGCAGCAGTATCCTCCTGTCCCTCCAAGGGAGCACCCTTTCATTCTCTGCCTTTCCTCTCCGAGGGCTTCCAGTGTGAGAGGCGTTGAAGCTTTCCTTTTCTTCTAGGCTGGAAATCCCCGTGTCCTCATCTGGTAACACCAGATGTTCTTCCAGTATTCCTTACTGCAACAGGTCAAAGGATTCGAAGAATATCCAGAAAGAATATAACGTCCTCCTGATTTTTCAACATTTCTGAAGCCATCTTAGACGAAAACTAAAAATTCTTCATCCTCGTTAGATCCTTTAGATGAAGAAAGCAATGTCTTGAATTTCTGAGATGAAAACTTACAATTTTATATTTTTTTAATTGAGTTCATGTAATGTATAGTAGGGCGTTTAAATTTAGAAATAAGCTGATGCATTCTGCTGGGTCTTTGGTGTGTTTGAGGGATTTCTGTGGTTTTCTTTTCTTAAAAGCCCCAAAGGATAAACCCGCTTGCTGTTATTTATTCAGCGGAACTGAAGGTATTTGGAAGGTTCCAGGACCTGTGCTTAGATCGGAAGGGAGTCAAGAACAGGGGAAGAGAACAAACGTCACCAACTTGTAAACTCGTTAAAAAGTTGAATTGTGCCTTCAAGCTTGGAGCCTCACTGCTTCACTGATGCCTGGATTTTATATTTGCAGGAATTGCAGTGGATAAGTATGGCCTCATGTATTTCGTTGATGCCACGATGATCAGAAAAGTGGATCAGAATGGAATTATATCAACTCTTCTGGGCTCCAATGACCTCACTGCTGTTCGACCTCTCAGCTGCGATTCCAGCATGGATGTCACCCAGGTAGACTCCGACTGCATTTATTTTCTTCTCCGCTGTAGACAAAAAAAGAATCTATTTTGGATGACTGCCTGGCCACTTAAGAAGTGCATTATGCAGTGCAAGATGATAGCATAGTTGATTCATTACTGAAATGACTGAACCATCCTTTTACTGTGGCTAACACAGGTTATTTATGCAACTGTAGAGAAATAAGGTTGAGATAATGGGAGTTATTGTCTTAATTGCCTGTTTTTCTGTAATTATTGTAGAGCTTCCACAACGTAGCGTTCATTCTTTGCACAGAAACACAATTAGCCAAAGTTACCACTGCACGTAGCTTTAATATTTCCGAAAAAAACCAAAATCATTGTTTGAAGTAGTTGCCATTCATGACTCGGTTTCATGATTTTCGCTGATAAACCCCTCACTAATTTGCTGTTGTTACACATGGAATTTTAAACACTAGAAGTGTACTTTTCAGTTACGAGTTTTACAGTAATAATTTGTGCAACTCATAGGTACGGCTGGAGTGGCCTACTGATCTCGCTGTCAATCCCATGGACAACTCACTTTATGTCCTAGAGAACAATGTTATTTTGCGGATCACAGAAAACCATCAAGTTAGCATTATTGCTGGACGCCCCATGCACTGCCAGGTTCCTGGTATAGACTACTCTCTTAGCAAACTGGCTATTCATTCTGCACTTGAATCAGCCAGTGCCATTGCCATCTCACACACAGGAGTTCTTTACATCAGTGAGACAGATGAAAAAAAAATTAATCGGCTACGCCAGGTAACTACCAATGGAGAAATATGCCTTCTTGCAGGGGCAGCTTCAGACTGTGATTGCAAAAATGATGTCAACTGTAATTGCTATTCTGGGGATGATGGGTATGCCACTGACGCCATCTTAAATTCACCATCTTCCTTAGCTGTGGCTCCAGATGGTACCATCTACATAGCTGATCTCGGAAATATCCGCATTAGGGCTGTCAGTAAAAACAGGCCCATTCTTAATTCTTTTAACCAATATGAAGCTGCATCTCCAGGAGAACAGGAGCTGTATGTCTTCAATGCTGACGGGATTCACCAGTACACTCTCAGCCTCGTTACCGGGGAGTACTTGTACAATTTCACCTATAGCAGCGATAACGATGTTACGGAGGTGATGGACAACAACGGCAACTCCTTGAAGGTCCGTCGGGACGCCAGCGGGATGCCCCGCCACTTACTGATGCCGGATAATCAGATTGTCACGCTGGCTGTTGGCACTAACGGTGGACTCAAGCTAGTCTCAACACAGACCCTGGAGCTCGGATTAATGACATATAATGGAAACAGTGGTCTCTTAGCAACGAAGAGTGATGAAACAGGATGGACATCATTTTATGAGTAAGAATGTTTTTGGATATCTTAAGTGTACATTTATTTTCCAAACGGTAGCGAGTAGGCTCTAAACTGACCCTGCTGACATTTGTTGTAGGCTTTTCGCTGGTGCTGAATTAAGGCTGTGGCATCTCAGTCTGCTGGGGTGCTGGAAATGATTAAGCGGCTTCTTGATTTCATCCGTTTGGCCGGGTCCTTTGGGTGGGTACCGCAGTCACCTACGGGGAAGCTCACTGCCTCCGGCACGAAGGACCGTGTCCCACGCTCAGGACCCGTGTTGGTTTTACCCAGATCGGGGTCCCTGCTCCCTCTGAGCCCCCCGCGAGGCTGCAGGGGACTCACACCCAGAGCAGCCCCCAGCAGCGCACAGCTCCTGCCGAGCCGCCTCTCTCGAGGAACCCTAACGCTGTAGATTCTCGGGGAGCTCAAATTACATTATCTGTCTGTTCAGACTCAAATATTACTTGTGATTGTTAAAGCGTTGCCTAACTCTCACTGTCTGTTGAGCCTCGAGACGAGGGAAGTGGATCCCCAGCTACCTGGCACACGCCGAGCGTATCTTCCGTAATTTGTAGATAACCCAGAAGCGCACGCACTGGTGTTCATGAGCATTTAGATTTAAAAAAAATCCCTTCTTCTTCAGAGGAAACTCACCAGAGATTAAGTTCAGAAGTATATTAAAAAGCTAGAAAAAACTAGTCAGCTTTTTTTAAGAGTTATCCCATTCTTAGTAGTCTTATTGACATTTATCGAGCAAAACAGTGTTTAGAAATAGAAGCTAAAGGATATATTGAAAAACTGTGTATCTTCCAAGTATGGCAAGTCTGATGCCATATGTTTTGTGTGAAATAGTTAATTATTGATTACTAAATGCAATTTCTCAAATTAGCGGGTAGAAACTATGAATAGGGCTTTATATTTAATTTCAAATTGCAGCCTTATTTTCAAGGTTACAGACTAGCAGTGACGCACACCTATTTTAGTTTATTAATGCGTTCATCCCAGCCACCACTTAATTTCTTTTTAGGGAAAACATAAGTAACGCAGGAATAAAAAGAACCGTGTTCAGTCCGCTCAAAATCCGCCTAAATCAGCCTTGCACATCGGTTATTTTGTCCACACTGTGTTTCGTTTCCATAAAAAGGAAAGCAGTGCCCTCTCGTGGTTCCCTTCTGATGTGGCCCTGGAAACTGAACCACTGCGATTTTTCATCTAGGCTGTGGGTAGAGATGTCCAGGTTTCTTTCTCCTTAATATTTTGCAGAGGGTATTTCTTTACAACACATTAGTGAGAGAAGTAATCCGGTATTAGCAGCTGATTACACAATCGAGTAAAAGTTCACTGTACTAGAAGGTGGTAAAATCTCACATTATTGATGTGGATGCCCTTTTATGAAGGTGTTTTTGTAGTTTTTCCTCAATAGCTAGCTCAAAATTCAGATCATAAGTCATATAAAATAGTTATTTCTCCAAACACCTGTAATTAATTGTAGAACATTAAATAGCAAAGTAATTTAAAACTCTACATGAGTAATTTAATTACTCATTACTCAGTCGAGTAATTTGGGTAATTTAAAACTTTACATACTCATTACAAAATACCAGAAAAGTAGAGGCATCTCCTTTAGGCCGATCCTAAGCAGCTGACTTACAGTAAGTCCTTCATATGCTTTGTCATCTCAAGTGACCCCATTGTTCAGGAGTTTATTAATAAGATTATAAGAAATATTTAAATCAAATGTACAAACCCCAACAATTATGGTCCACTCAGTACTAGTTCATGGTTTCTAATTGTTCTTCAGAGCAACTCCCAGGGGAAAATCCTGTATTCATCATTATGCAATTTATTTTGGTAGCTCTAAGTTAATATTGATTGAAGATGTGAAAGAAATACTTGGCCAATGAGAGCTTATAAGGTCAGAATAGTTTGCAGTGCCACAATATTCATGCAATACCCAAATTTCTAATATGGCAGCAGAACCTGAGAAGAACAAATGTCTTTTAAGTAGTAAAAGAGTATATATATTAAAGTTTTTCTTTAAAAAAAAGTATTTCAGTGCATTTATCTCAACCAGACATTGAATATAGTGGATATATTCCTTTCTTTAATCTGAAACTGTACCCTGAAAATGCTCACAGACCTGAAATTGTGCAGTACATCTAGGTATGCTTGTGTATGTGCAGAGAAATGCATACACGCTCCGTAGGTATATTTTATATATACATATGTATATAGATAGTGCCTGTGTGTCTGCACACAGTTCATTTGCAGGAGAAACAGGCAAGGCTTTTAAATAATGTAACAGCTCCCAGCAAGCTCACATGGGGTAATTTAAGCTGGTTTTAGGCATGAAGCACAGATCTTTGAAGTGGTCCTCAGTGGTATTCCAGTTTGGTCTTGAAAGCATCCTAAGAGAATGCTGCAGTTTCCTCCTTGAGTCAGCTCGGTTTTTACGGGGGAGAGAAAATAGGGATTTACGTAAACGTGGGTGGATCTGCCCCTTGCCCTGCTCTGTGTGAAGTCAAAGCTGCTGTTACTCGTTCCTGCAGCCCCGTCTGTGGCACTGCCCTAGCTGCGAGGAGCTGAGCAGGACACTTCTCTCACCTCAAAGACCGGGACGCTAGCAATAAAAAGTGCCTGACGTAGGTGAACATACATGAGAGAAGAGCCTGCAGCATGTTTTCACAAGCCTGCCGAAGGGATGCGCACGTCAGATCGTTGTAGCTGACCCAGAGGTGACAAGCACGTGCTCGGCTCTGTCCCACAGCTGGGTCTGGTGGCCCAGCACAGACACATGGGCTGGCTGTGCCCACCGGGCTGTCAGGGACTGTCTGCAGGCTGGATGGGTCTGGTGGTACCCAGAGCTGTCCTGGGAACTCCGGGACTCAGGACACCTTTAGGTCGCCACTGCCGGCACGGGAGAGACTTGTTGTGGGCACAGGGAGATGCCATTTCCTAAGGCACTGGGATTAGGAAGGGATCTCTCCCCTTGTAATTTTGTTAGTAGAAGAACTTGGGATGAAACCTTGCTCTAGAATCATAGAATCACAGACTGGCCTAGGCTGGGAGGGACCTTAGAGATCATCTAGTCCAACCTCCCTGTTGTGGGCAGGGACGCCACCTCTCGACTAGACCAGGCAACACACGGGGACCGAGCCAAAGCTCAGGAATTTCAGTGTATCCAGAACGCACCTCAGCTGAAGGTATAAAGATTGCCATGTCAGATACAATTCCCCTGCCCTGACGCTGGGTCATAGGCTGTGTGTGGCTTCTCCCAAAGAAGATACCAACAAGTCCCAGGTCAATTTGTATGTTTTCCTTTGCAAAATTTTTTTTTAGTTCATTACCTTGGGTTGATGTCATGAAGAAGAAAGGTATATAACTATTTAATTCCTATATCACTTTATTCTTATTATTCGGGTAAATGTCTGGGTGTTGTATTCTGCTAGGCACTTGCTCTCATATGAGACAAATTAAAAAAAAAAAAACACCAACCCAACTCAGTAATATGTCACTTCTAAATTTTGAAGTACATAAACTTTTTCTGGTTTATTAATTTTTTTTTAATCATTTTCTTAATGCAATGGGTAAAGTAGAAATGTCTTCTTTATATTGCAATGTGTATACAGCATTTAAGTAGTGATTTTTTTATGTGTCTAGCTCGTAAACTAAATGGTCTCCAGATCTTTATAGAGAGTACTTTTGTATGTATCACTGTAAGCATGTCCATCACTTGCTTATAAACCCTTTTAATCTCTGCCAGTGCTGGTTTCAAAAATTGTGACCAGCATTAGGAAACAGGCCCCACGGCTGGGAGCAAAACACTGATTTCTAGAAACAGCATAAGAATATTTTCATTTTTCTATTTCAGGCTCTGTACATCCTCATTCATATTTACTTTTTAGACTGCCCTTGCACTTTGAACAGAGATTTTCAGTGAGTAGCCCACAGCAATCCCCAGGATTTTTTCCTGCGTTAATTAAAAACTCAGCAATGTGAATGAAGATTTTAAATTAGTGTCTCATTTGCATTGCCTAAAATATATTTGCTGAGGAGGAATTTCACCAACCATTTTTCTGGATCTTCACCGAGCTCTGCACAGTCATGCTGAAGCCACTCGTAGCCTTTTCTAGTTTGTCCTAAATAACATTGTCTCTTCTGTAATATTTGACACCTAAGTATTCTCTTCATCCACACACAGACACTCAGCGTGTATCTCATTATTAACCGCTGAGTTTTTTGAAACTGTCAACTTTTTTTACTTTTTTTCCCCCTTGCTAGATGGATGCTTGACTGGATCAAATTCTTCCCTCATCTGTACTTTACAAGAACTCTTCAGTATTTTTCTGTGAAGACCTTTATATAGACTTAGCCAACCCCCCTTTTGTAGATGAGTTCAACGTATTAGCTTTTATCCAGTATCTTGTTGAAATGGTTAAAAATAATACTAAAAAGAAGCCACATATGGGTAGAAACTTGTGACTTCTATGAAAGAAAATCATGCTGCTTAATCTTTTTTTGATCCTAAACTGCTTAAGTGAAAACAATATATTACTGGTCCCTTTTAGATTGCATGGTACTTTATTGATTTACTTCTTTGCCTAGTATTTCCATTGGTTCTGGTAAGGCTTGTTGCTCCACAGGTGATTTTTTTTTTTTTCCCTTTTTTTTCCTTCCCTATATTCAGTTGAATGGATGCCACCTTTTGCAATGGACTTGAAAGGCATATTTTATATTGGTATTAACTGAGGAGCCAATTTGTGTATTAATTCTGGAGATATGCCATACAGTTCAGGTGGCCTACTGTGAGCTTTCTGAATGATTTAATTGTAAAAAGTCATGTTGAAAGCACTGATTTCTTTTCATCTTTACAGCTAACCGCGGCGGGCAAAGAACTCGGCTAGCTCCGTGATACTAAATGTGCTCCTCTTCTCTTCTGTTACTCTCAGGCAGTGCAATGGATTTACCAGTTCTCTTCCAGGCTTCCCACTCCCTGGATTTCTACATTCGAAGGATGACCAGTTGGTTTCAATCTCTGCCTAAACTTTTCCCTTTATCTACACAGGACATTTTTTCTTGCCTTTCTGCTGTTTAGAAGTATGTGCGCTTTGGTAGCGGCTGGGTGAGAGACTCTTGCACAAGTAGAGAACTGCAGCAAGCAGAGTGTCAGACTGGAATACTGATTTTGTTTCAGGTCCTCATTTCTTATCCTTAAGATCCAAGGGATTGCTTCTTTAGCATACATATGCGCACCAATATAGCGTACTGAAGGAAAGGGAGAAACAGTACCATTTGATTTCAGGCAGCATTCCTTCTTCCCCCTCCTCCTCAGATTTGTACCTCTAAATAAATTTAACCCAATAAACTCATGGAGAGCCCTTTTTTTTCTTTCTTTTTTTTTTTTCTTTTATCTTTATGCCTCTGGAGCACTTAATTCTTCTAAGGTATATTCTGAGTGCTGACTGCTGCCCTTTGTGCAATTCCAACCTATCCTGTGCTTTAACTTCTCATCACTCATCTTTATGAGCCAAAATACTGACCCTAAAATGCAGTTCAATACCACAGATGAAATTATTATGTTCTCAAGCTGATGTCTCTTTTAATCTCTTATGGCAAGTTTATTCCTTGTTACGTCACCTTAGCCCATACTTAGCAGTTTCCGCAAAGTATTCGATTGCGAATGTGCAGTGTGTGCAATTGTTATTGTAGTATCCGTCGTAAGTCCACTTCCGTAGAGCGAAATGCAACTATTAAAATAGAGATGAATTTAGTAATTATAATTGTTTGAGCTAAATATCGCTCTCTGTGTCCATAATAATTTATTTTATTAAGTTACTAATTTAAAATGTGCTAGCCTGGATTTATTGAGATCAGTATCTCTCAAAATTACTATTTCAACATTACAGACTCTTTCAAGAACAGAGAAGTAAATATGGCCAGGATGTTCTTGAAAAGCTGTTTCGTTCTGGGTTTTTTGCACAGATGTGGTGCATTATTAATACATTGGGTATTGAAATGAACATATATCCTCATGCTTCTTTGCTCTCACTAACTTTTCTATTAGCTATGATCATGAAGGGCGTCTGACCAATGTAACACGTCCCACTGGAGTGGTAACTAGCCTTCATCGAGAAATGGAAAAGTCTATTACCATCGACATTGAGAATTCTAATCGGGATGACGATGTCACGGTCATCACAAATCTCTCCTCTGTGGAGGCTTCCTATACAGTTGTTCAAGGTACCAAAGCACACTTCTCAGCACATCTCCTCAGCACACACACACACAACTTGAGAAAGCAATTTGCAGAAAGATTTGTGCCACTAGCACAGTCACGAGCAGGGGGAAGGCGTGTCAGGTTTGCAAGAAAACCTCCCTTAAAGCTCATTCCTAAAATGGCAAGCCTTTGGGAGAGGTAAGAGACAGTTCACGATCACGCTTGGTGTCAAATACGGGTGGTGATATCTGCTGGTGTAAGGCAGCCCTGCCATTGCCTCTCGGGTCAGGTTCACTTTACCCAGCTCGCCTGTTTCTTCGCTGCAAAATTGGTTCTGAGTTCAGTGCCGCAGAGGGGCAGCCCGGGTGCTGGATGTTGGCTGCCGGGGTGGAGATCCTTCGGAGCAGAGGCTCAGGTAGCCTCCTGCTGTTAGAAGGGAAATCTTCCAAATTTATACACCGCAGCTGAATAAAACAATAAATAAATAGAACGGTCAGGGCAGAGGGCGGTCTTGTGCCATGGTTAGCGCTTCCGAGAGCAGTGTTAGAGCCCAAGAACGGC